TCTTTCCCTGTCCCCACTTGCTCATTCTCGCGCTCTCTCCCTCTCTGCCTTTCTCTGTTTCTCTCTAAAATTCTCCGTTTCTCTGTCTCTCATTCTCCCTCTCTCCTATTCTGAGTTCCTCTCGAGATCTCTGTGCGCTTCATCGACGATGTAAACAGACTGATATTTTTTGGAGAAAATCTTCACCTTTCTACTCCAAATTACTTTTCTGTACATTTGTCTGCTGTTATTTCTTCAACTACAGCCGTGCGTGCACGAAAATGACGCACCTATAGGTGAAATACGCGCGCATCAACAACCAGCATTTCTTCGATGACACTGTCGTTGATTGGTAACGATTCCTGGGATAACAGTTGGACATATCGAAAGAAAGGTACACGTACTTTTTCGATTGTCTCGATTTCATTGCTGATACTCGTTCATTCTACGAGGTTATAGATAAGAATTCTCCCGCGCTACGACACACGGATGTGAAAGACGTAAAACATCGTATCAGGCCTGAAAATAAGTGACCTTAAAGTGCGGAAATCTTGATCGTAGCAAATGCTTCAAATATATCGAAACTGTGATGCTAATTTATGGAAAAAGAAACTGGAAAATAATTTCAGAAGTATCATCTTTGGTTCCACTATGCCACAATTTCATCGACAAGATTCCATAGCCTTCAGTTTCATTTTCTTGTTCTTACGATTACCCTTTCCACCTTTTACCCAGCATGCTAATTGTTTATTCAAGTTGCCATTCATTTTATATATAATAATGTATGATAATTCTTATTGTTTAAAATAATGAGTTGCATTTATTTCTCACAGTGGTATCAGTGCGAGCAAAGCATAATCCTATGCAATTGTTAAACGATGGAGTCATTGCTAGAAACTACCAAATAAACATGGAAGCGCTATTCAAAAATCCGACAGTTTTACATTCAGCATATTAAGGATATGCTTTACATGAACACGGAGGGAATAATTCAATGAACAAAATTATAAGGAATGATATTCTATTTGAATCTATTGGATGTCAGATAAGCTAAAAAATGTCTGGTGATTCAGGATGGAGTGCTGTTATTCACCATCCTTCGGAACTAGAATTACAGAATTGGAATTGGGAAGAAAACGATGGGGAGCAAGAAAGGGAGCTTCCTTCAACTGTTGATATGGATGCCATAAAAGGTGGTGGTAGCTGGGACCCAACCACTGAACCTAATGGTATTAATATATTACATTGTTAGATTATGTAACTATGTTCCGACAGTCATTTATATATTCATGTAAGTACATATCGTGAGGTACAATCTTTTTCTCTTATTTTACTACAGGAACAGATTCGGTTGATTCCGAAGAAGACTCTGATTCCGACGAGGAAAGTTCTGGTGGTACAGAAGGTAGTTGTTCTTACTCGGATTCGAATTCAGACTCGGACGACGAAAGTAGTGGCGACGAGGAAGAAGATACAGGTTCCAATTCGGATTGTACATCGGAACATAGCGAACAAACATTTTCTATTCAGGAAACAAATTTTGAATCGGTATGCGTATTAGAATTTTGTAATTATTATTAATGTTCCAAAAGTTGGTCACAGTTTGGCAGAACTTATTAATGCATTACAGGGAGCGCTTAAATTGAAGATCACTATGAAAGGACCAAAAAAGGAAGATTTGGAAAAAGTAAAATGTGAAAAAAACAGAAGAAACGTGCCGAAAAAAGCTAAAACTAATCGAGGGGGAAAGGTAATTTATAAGTACTTGCTTGAGGCTTAATTATTAAATTACAGTATTTTGAATTAATAAACTTAGTATTATTGGTTCCCTTTAGTTTTCTTTGAGTAGATCTGTATTTTATCTCTATCCTATTTAGTCATCTGAATGCAGTAGCGACGATTCTGACTCGTCGGAAAGCCGATTACCTTCACAACAACAACAACAACAGCAACAACAACAACAGCAGCAGCAGCAACCGCAACAAACACAACAGGCACAACAGTCTCAGCAGCAACAACAGCCACAGCAGCATCCGCCACTTCAGGAAATCAATCAGGAAGATTTAGCAGCTATTTTACCGGATCAGGAGCACGAGGACGCTCCGTTTGATGGATTTGAAGATTCGGAAAGCGGTCGGTTAGTATCGAAAGCTATCGAGCGGATGTCACTCGGAGCAGATTCAGATACGAGTGAAAATGGTGATCAGAACCCTGTACCTGTGTATAGTTCCACCTTATTGCAACAATTTGTTGAAAAAACGGCTCTGTTATCGGAGCCAAGAAAAAGGCGAAGTAAGTTAGGTAAAAAAGTAAACGATTCAGAGTATCCTTGTGTTTCGAATGTATCTCCGGACTCAGGAATTCAGTCGGTGGATAACAGTCCATTGCATTCGGCAATTAGTCCTGTAAGTCCTCCGGCGCCGACACAATCCCCAGTGCAACCAGTTGTTACGAAACCAGCGGTAAATGTAGATCGTGTTTTGTATCCACCTAAACGAAAACCTGGTAGACCGGCAAAAACAGTTTCCACGCAGCCCCGTGGACCAGGTAGGCCAAGGTTGAAACCAGAAATCGTTGAAAAGATAGAAAAAATAGAAAAAACAGAGAAAACTGGGAAGAACGAGAAGATCGAAAAGAAAGAGACTGCTCCACAACCGATAAAAAACATGAAGGAAGAACCTACTAAAAAGGGGAAAACGAAGTCGGCGCCGCAAAAGACCGCTGCATCTCGCACGAATAAGAGTGAAGAAAATGAAGCGACTAAAAAATCGAAAGAGAAACCAGCTTGTCAAAAGAAACGGAGCTGTAACGTGCCCAAACAATGTACGAAAGGAAAGGTAACTGGAAAAAGAAATAATGCAAGTTCCCCAGCGCGTGTCAAGTGCCTAAGCAGAACTGTTACAAGTAAGTATGGAAAAGAAGGAGTTCAATGCAACGGTGGAACGTGTAAGAAAATGAAGAAAGAGAAACCTGGAACAGGGAACAAGACAACTCCGTTACGGCGACAGAAACAATCGACTGGCGATCGAATCTCAAATGATAAGAAAGTAGTCAACTCAAGCAAAAGAAGTTTGAAAGAGAATAGAAGTAATACCGCTTCTACAGCTAATAAGAGGCAAGCATTGTTAAAGAAAAACGTCGCGCCAGTTACGCGACGTGTATTGAAAGAAAACAAAAGTACTAAAAAGGCAGGAACTGGATTTGAAACTAGCGGCGTTGGCGTTCAGACTTTAATATCTTTACCTGTTGGCGAGGTGTTGAAGTCCGAAAAAGTTGAAAATGTAACAAATAAATGTGACAAGGCAACACAGCCTATACACAACCATTGCCACAAACATCATCATCACAAGCATCGAAGACGATTAGTTTTGCCACCTAAAAATCCTATACGCATCCATCCATGTCTCATACAAGAGTTAGAGAAGTTGATCGAGGAATTTTCCAGATTGTGCAGTTTAGGTAGGAACAATTCAAATTCCGGATATTCCGAATTACCCCAAATCTTTCGTGTAAAGAAGTTAACAAAAAAGCGGAAAGGAGGCGATGTTACCACAAACGATGATCAGAAATTAAAAAGACGTCTCAAGAAGGAGAAAATTCTGTCAGGTACAGATTCGAAGAATAGTATGAACTCTAATCCAAACGAGCAAAGGTTACCATTAAAGAAGAGACATTATCACGTGTCGAGCCCTCACAGTTCACAAAGTTCGAACGCGAGTGGCGCTGACATGGCTGTTAACGAAGCAAACTCTACAGAGAGTCACATAGAAGAAGCAATAGAAGCTACAATAACGAGATACGGTGGCAGCTCTGCATTTTCCTTCCAAGAAGATTCTGTACCTGTTACTCCTAAGAAACGGCACAGGGATACGGAAGCTGGTAGTCCCGACAAGTCAAGTGCAGCATCTTCCGATTTGTTCGAGGAAAAACCTTTGAGTCAAATAGAAGTACAACCACGACGTAAAAAGAAAATTGTCAAAGATCTTCGTGTGACAGTTACAAAATTACCCGCCGAGAGTCAAGGTGCTTCAGAAAAAGGGGAGAAAATGGACAAAGCTGAGAAATCTGAAAAATATTCCAGCGATACCAGAAGCTTAAAAAGTCGTGCAGAGAAAGGTAGTAGGGGTGAAAAAGTAGGTGCAGATAGATTGATAAAATACGACAAGAATCAAATGGATAAGGTTGAGAAAAGAGACATTTCACCAGATCATGTACGCTTAGAAAAAAATATAAAAATTGATGCGGCAGAATTTAATGCGATGGAGAGTTTCGATGAAAATGAAGGTACGAATGAAACTAAACCAACCCAAAATAGTCTTCATTCAAATGTTTCAAATCCCATAAATTCTTCTACTGTCTTAGTTTTGACCAAAAAGAAAAACTATCGACGGAGGAAAAATATCAATCGTACAGGCTTTCCGACGTTAAAAAAGAGAAAGAAAAGATCCTTGAATACAAACGATATATCGACGGACACGACGAAGACTATATCGTTAAGTAACGAAGACGGTCCGAACGTTAGTGCTAATGGTAATTCGGTGAAAGAAGGAACGGAAGATTCAGTAGTAGATAGTAAAACGAGCGTGTTAAACAATACCAACATACAAGATATTTTTGCCGAAGGACTTTCAACTAAACACAATAGTAATGTTGCGCAAAGTCGAGCTCAATCAAAAACTGATCTGAATGCGAGACAGGAGGGCTCAAATTTACCAAAATCAGAAGCGAATGGTCACATTCGTTCTGACCAATTTTCTGAACCTCGTTCGGGTCAGTTGAGAGTTCGCAAGGATCTTGTAGAAACTGATAATGATAATGCATCAAACAAACTATGTCCTGTTAAATTTGAGAAGATTCAAGATTCGAGACTCTACGATGAAAATGCACCTTTAGAGGGGACTCTCGAGAGATTCAGTTCGAATCAACGCGTTGTCGATGTAAATGAAGAAAATGTGAAAAAACTTGAACGTGCAAGCTCCCATACAAACATCAAGACGGAACATTCAGGCTCATTTAATGGTAATCAAAGAAAGCGAAGAGGTTCTTCAAGCCCTTGTAATTTAACTCCTAGAAATATAAAACGTCTACGTAGTTCAGGCTATGATACGGAGAACGACATCTTGCCTAATAGCGATATACTTAGCGACGACCATGAGGTAGGAAAGCACTCAAACTCGACGCATACTAGAAAGAAACAATCGCGGTGGAAGAAACGTTATTTACAGGGAGGCATTCTACAGGAGTATGGCAAAGATTTTGAGGGAAAAACGCGCGGTAGCATCGAGAATAGCAATGCTATCGGAAGGAATAAGGTTGTATGTGAAACTAATGAATCTGCGTCCGCTGCATTGTTATCCGCCACGTATCAGTGTGGCAAGCTTTTGCGACAAAGAAAAATGCCGTTTCAATTACCGTACGATTTATGGTGGCTGCATACACAATCTAGACTCCCTGGCAGAGAATCAGTTCCATCGTGGAATTACAAGTAAGGATACAGTTCCTATGTGCTTAAATATATTTTCATTTCTCAAAATTATTTGATTATTTTATCTTTTCATAGGAAAATTCGTACTAACGTGTATTACGATGTCAAACCGACTACGCTTTATGAAGCGCAGGCCTGTGAATGCAAGCCAGAAAGCGGTTGTGGAGACGATTGCATCAATCGCATGGTTTTCAGCGAATGTTCTCCGCAACTTTGTCCCTGTGGTGATAAATGTGAGAATCAAAAGATTCAGAAACACGAATGGGCACCAGGTTTACAGAAATTCATGACGGAAGATAAAGGTTGGGGCGTGAGGACTCAACAGTCTATTAAATCTGGTGTCTTTATCCTCGAATATGTCGGGGAAGTGGTATCTGAAAGGGAATTTAAGTCAAGAATGGCGACCAGGTATATTACGAGCATGTACGATGGTTTTGTGTGATTTTACATGTTAAAAATTCAATCTTTTTTTATTCGATTTATCGTGTTACAGATACGCCAATGATACGCATCATTATTGCTTGCACCTTGACGGAGGTTTGGTAATTGATGGTCATCGTATGGGTGGCGACGGAAGATTTGTAAATCATTCTTGCGAACCTAATTGCGAGATGCAAAAATGGAGCGTTCATGGTCTTCCGCGTATGGCGTTATTCGCTTCTAGGGACATTAAGCCGGGGGAAGAGTTGACATATGATTATAATTTTGCACTTTTTAATCCATCTGAGGGACAGGAGTGTCGATGCGGTAGTAGCGGTTGTCGAGGAGTGATCGGTAATAACACGATCTCCTCGTGTACTCAGTTTTTTTCTTCTGATCTTTCCTTTGCATTTGTATCTTGTTTTCGTAGGTGGAAAGAGCCAAAGGGTTTCGAAGAGTATTACTTCCATACCGTCGCAGTTAGAGCCGACAGAGAGACGATCGGTCGGAAGACCAAGGAAGAACGTAAGAAAATCTAACACAGTACAGTCTGTGAACTCAAAAGGCATTTGTAAATCTCGGAAAGTAGGCGATTCTAATTTAATTAATGCCCCTATATTAAAACCTATGTCTCATCAGCAACGATGCTTTGCACAGCAACATCATTGCTTCTTATTAAGAAATTTAGAAAAAGTCAGACGGGTTAAGTTACTGGTAAATCAAGTACAAATGCAAAATGGTAAAGTGAAATGCGGTAACGCAACTAATGTAAAAGAAAAGAGTTCTGGTGATACTAAGATTCAATCTGATGCATTTTTCACGCAATTATCTGCTCTGACTAATACAACTACACGCACTGTGCGTACTCGACGACTAGCTCAAGCACAAGATGATCCGGAAGTACATAAAACTGCAAAATTAGCTAAGGTATGAAAGCTATTTATCATCTTTGCATTCATGATTAATCTTTCATATTTAATAATTCATGATTAATTTTCAGGCGTTGAAAGATCTATATAGTATCGTGGCAACTGCAAAAGATGAAAATGGACAATTATTGTGTACACCATTTATAACGTTACCTTCGAAGAGAAAGTTGCCCGATTATTACGAAAAAATAGCAGATCCTATAGACATGACAACGATCGATCAGTGTATTGGTACAGGTCATTACAAAACTGCAGAACATTTTGATCATGATATGATTAAACTTTTTGATAACAATGTTAGATTCTTCGGAAGAACTTCAGAAATGGGTATTGCCGCAGCTAGGTTAAGAAAATTATATTTAGGAAGCAAACCCGATTTCGTGGACGCGATAACAGAAGCAACGGGTTGCCCACCATCTCAAGGTTTCTTACCTCCTCGTGGTTCAACCGCGGGTGAGGAAGATGTCATTAGATGTATTTGCGGCTTACATAGGTACATGAAATTTATAGTTTTTTATGTCACTGACTGATTTATTAGAACTATTTGTAAATATTACTTTATTACCATTACCAGGGATGAAGGTTTGATGATACAGTGCGAACGCTGCCTTGTATGGCAACATTGCGATTGCGTTAAAGCTGATACAAGTATAGAATCTTATTTATGTGAGAGATGTCACCCTCGTCCCGTGGACCTGGAAATTCCATTAGAAGGTGACGAGGAAGAAGAAGGCAAAAAACATTATGTCACTTTGATGCGGGGTGATTTGCAACTTAGGCAGGGAGACACTGTATACGTATTACGAGATACACCTGAAAAACATACGTACAAAACTATTCAGAAACCCGATTACGAACAAATGGACATTTTCAGAATCGAAAGACTTTGGAAAAACGCCGAGTGAGTTACTTTGTTTAAATTAATTTGTTGGACATTGTTTTTTAAAAATTTTATGCTTGTCGCTAATGTTCGACTATCTTTTATGCAACAGAGGTGAAAGATTTGTATTTGGTCATCATTATTTAAGACCACATGAAACGTATCACGAGCCGACTAGAAAGTTTTATGAGAATGAAGTCGTCTGTGCGCCACTTTACGAAGCCGTTCCATGCGATTTAGTTGCTGAACGCTGTTGGGTTCTTGATCCTCATACGTTCTGTAAAGGTGATTATTGTTACTCTTTTCTATCTAGTTAGTTACGCAGTTGTATTTTCTATTACAGTCTCTGTATAGTACTCTAAAAAATGTATTTATTTCTATTTCTATTTTTTCTTGTTTTTCTTTTTTCTTTTAACAAAGGACGACCGGTTGGTTCTACACCAGAGCATACTTACGTTTGCGAGTATCGCGTTGATCGTGCTGCTCGATTATTTACAAAAGTTGCCAGAGCTAGGCATCAAGTTTGCACGAAGCCTTATGCATTCGAAACATTTCCACAACGCATTAAACATTATCGTACATATTTGGTAAATATTGAATTAATACTATTGAAAATGTGATGAGAATTAAAATTAACATTTTTTTGTAAATGATGTACAGCCTCATAGTCTGGAAGGAATTCAAATAGGAAGTAAGATGAATAAAGAGAAAAAGAAAGCAAATAATCAAGATGTTGATAATAATCATAAGTCTGAGGCTAATGAAAATGCAAAAACGCACACGAAGGATCAACAAAAATCTTCTACGAATAAGGGTAGACGCCGATCGAATGAAATTTTAACTATTGCTACGCCTGCTACGTCGTATGCCCAGGTAACTGTCACACTACTATTAACTAATATTGTGTTTACCAGAAGTTGTAGCAGTTCGTGCATTTCAGTTGAATTTATATATTCTCCACGTGTCATATTAACATGTATTAAATTAATCTTTTCTAGAGAGAAGAACAAAGAAGAAGATTGAACAATATATTGATCGGCCTGCTACAAAAAATGCCGAATAAAAAGGATCCTTTGGACTTGTCGTTTTTACTAGAAAGGAACAGACGAAATCGTAAAAGGCCAGGTGGATTAAATCCGTGACATTGGATTATACATGATCGATAATATGGCATTATCTATACGTATATGTGTTGTGCGTGTATGATACTCGCACATAACCGATGCATGCACGCACATATAGGTACTATATAGGTAATATGTGCCATTGCTAATCTCTATCACAGTTAAATCTGTAATCAAAGTGATCGACCGATCTATTGTTTCATTTTGCTGTACGTAATCAATGTCATCTAATCTGTTTTATAAGAAAAACGCTAATCAATGCGTTTTCTTCTCCTTCTTACACTATGACCCGTCCATTCGTATAATTTAATCTTACATATGAAGGCTACTTCTCTCGGACATTGTATCGATCGAGATCTTTTTATATATTGTTTTTACATGTTCAAAGCTATAGAACATTTTCTATAGTATTTTGGCATCATTTTGGTATTTTGCACTACCTTCTTCGCTTACGCTGGAAGTTAGTATCGAGATTAAAAAAAGAAATTAGATAAAATCGAACAGAATATTCAGGGAAAGTGATGTTCGATTCTTCTTTTTTCTTTTTTGTTTTATTTTCTTCTTTTTTTTGGGGGGGGGGG